CATGTTCGGTTCGTTAAAAATTATCACTGTTTGTAAATGATTCGTTTATATTTCTAACACAAAAATTTATTTGTGTTTTGCTCGTTTACTTAGCCAGCTGAATACGAGTTGTTCACGAACAAAAAGTGGTTTCAATAACCCTTGTTATGCATGTAGTTCTCAGGAGTGTAAACGAGCCAAGCTTGAGCGAGTGAATACTTTGCTTGTTAAAAAATATCATTATTCGTGTTTGACTCGTTTATATATCACGCTAAAAAAAATTGTTCATGTTTGACTCCTTTGATTATAGATGCAAACATGAGCTGTCCACAAACAATAAGCTAACCTTAATCACATACTCGTAGAATGTTACAGGCAGGGCGAGATTTAAATCTTATTATTTATATTAAAATATTAATTTAATTAGAATTTAATATATTTTCATTATATTTTTAATAAGTAATAATTGATTATGAATCTTTGTAACTTTGTAGTTAATTAAATTATTTAAAAATAATATTCATTATATATTTATAATTATTTCGAGCCAAAGCAAACCGAACACGAACGAACAAAACTTTATTCATGTTCCGCTCATTTGTATATTTTTGTTTTTTGTTGTATTGTAAATAATTGATGATGATAAGCATCGTTAACTTTTTATATTTAAAATTATTTTATTTTTTATTTTTATTTTTTTCTTATACGCTTCTATCGACCGACGTTATGTGAAAGTGAAATAAATGAATAAAATATTTAAGCCTCATTCCAAAAGGAAACAAAAAGATAATGGCTTTAATTTTATGAGGACATGCTTAAAAATTAATAGCAAGATTTAGTTACATACCACTAAATTATTATTTATTTATATACCTGACACCTCAATGAAAAAAATATATATTTTATTTTTAAAAGTTAAAATGATGATATTTTTCATGTGATGTGAAAAAATTTTGGATGTAATAAATGTAAGAATCAAAGCTTTTCTATATGTATTAATCCTGAATTACTGTTCAATTTAGCTGTTTTTATAATTAAAATGATATATTATAATGCAGAAATAATCAAATGGCATGTCACCTAAATTTATAGAAGAGTACAATAAGTTGAGAATTGAGTCATCAGCGGTGTGGATCAGAAGCCAAAACAAGATTCAAATGTCAGGCCAAACAATAAAGTTAAGAAAATAAAGTGAAACGAATAATAGCCAGAACCTTATCATGGCCAAGTCTGATGACACCGAAGAGACTCGATCGTAAGACAATAAGAAAAAAGAACATATAGGTCTTGATAGGCCATCAACAAGTTTTTAACATGCAACACGAATTTCGAGATATGATGCGAATTTTGAGGCAATATTTTCAAGGAAAAAAAAAAGTTAAGCTGCAATTAAGAGTCAACTAAAGCTCTGTTTTCGACAAACTTACACTTAAACTAAGTGTTTGTTTGGCGCAGGTGTAGGTTTTTAGCTTTTCAGCTGCAGCTTAGCTGTCCTAGGAAGCAGCTGTGAGGAAACTGTTACGGAAAAGCTGGTTGTCTGTTTGTTACAACTACGTGAAAACAACTGTGAGGGAGCTGTTTTTAAAAGGTTGATCATTCTGCCCCTATTTATTTAAAATGTTTAAAACAGAACTCTAACTGTCATCATTTTGATACTTCAGAAATTTCTTTGCTAAATTTCCACCGCATATAAATGAATGAAATCAAATAGGAAAAAGAAATATCTTATAAAGCCAAATTCAAATATTTGGTAGGTAAAATGTACAAATTCTTGGATAATCTTTTTGGCCCTTCGACTTTAACCCTTAAAAGTTCTGATTTGTTATAAACACTTTTAGAAGCTTAAAGACTCTCCTTCCATTCTTTTAGTATACTTCTAACCTCAAAGCATGCCGACGTCTATGCACTGAATTTGTAGAGGAAGCTGAACGTATTAAAGTCATGTTCTGCTTGCGAGGTGAACCTGGTGCGCATAGGATATTGTTGCCTAACGCAGAAATGCGTGGCCTGACTATAAATTGCAAAAATCAAATAAAAAGAAGAGACAAACCGTGACCAATTAAACTGCATTTCTCGGCGAAGAAAAGATTAGGAAGACGAATGAAAAGAAGAGGACGATGGCGAAGGAGGAAGACGAACCATGACCAGAGCTTGGAGACAATGGCGAGGTGGAGGAAGACAAACCAAACAACGCAAGAGAAGACGAAGGAGGGAGGGGGAAGATCGTAGGGCTTGCCTTCGTGTAACAAGCCAAACTAATGAGGAGGAGAAGACGAAGGAGAGGGGGGAGGCTCAATGAGGGTTAATGCGTAAAAAGCGGATCGAGAAAGTTGTGCCGCAGGATCCATCCCGCGGCTGGCTTTTTACCAGAACCGCATCCCACAACGAGCGGGACGCCCCACCGAACGACAGAAATTCGTGGGAGCAGGCCACGATGCTCTTATATCGCGGTCCCAAATAGAGCCTAAGAGTCAACTTGAGCTTTGTTTTCAACAAACTTACACTTAAACTGACAAACTCAACAATACAGACTTAATGATGTCAAAATCTGAGTTAAATCAAGCTCAGATCAAACCATTAAATCACTTTTGAAAGTTTTTCAGACACATCTTAAAAGTCAAACAAATGTCTAATCTCGATGAGTTTATAGTAAATTCGAGCGTCTCAACAAGGTAAATCCAACGAACCTAAGATTGCTCAATTCTAATATTGTCAAGACTCTCAAATGTCCATCAAATGTCGTCCAATCAAGGTAATCTCTTCGAATCATCCGATCAAAGTGGTTAATATTCTTGCATTAATTGCACGAGAAACTCTATAAATGGAGTTCCACCCCATTCATGACAAAGGGGAACTGGAGGCTTAAAGAGAGAGCTTGAAGCTTGAGGAAGGGAGCTTGAAGTTTGGAGAAGAGTTAAAATCCAGTGCCACTTTGTCGCCGACCACCAGTCGCCTCCTGTTGCCGACCACCACCTCGTCGGTTGCCATCGATCACCATCGACCACCGCCCACTCCCTGCGACGAAGCACCGTGCGAAGCGACAACTGACATTGCAGAGTCGTGAAACAACATACAAAGCGATGCATCGCCCCGAATACCAGAATGTCACCTCAAAGACAATGTAACAATGCATCTCGAAGATGACGTGATGAGGTATCCTGCATACGCACGAGCAACTCCTGACTCTGGCCCCCATTTCCTACGAATGTCATTACTACTCGTCACTACGACTTATTTGACCAACTAAGGTCTACGTTGTTCACAACTCGTGCGGCAGCCGACTCCGGCCACACGGTCTATGGACGTTACTACTACTCACCATTATGGTATATGTGACCAAATACAACCTATGTGGTGCACAGCTTCGACAATTGTCTACTATGACTTATCTGGTCAAGCAACGCTCCTGAAGCAACCATCTACAATACTCACGATGGACTACTGCCAAAAACTGCATTCAAATTATGAGTATACAACATTGTAATTCCATCTTTCCAAATTCAAAAAAGTAGTGGATCTGTGTACTTACTCATCATTCATAGTAGCTTATTTCAACGGGGCTAAGTCGTGTGGTTTTTCACACTTTCAAACGTTTTCTACGTAAAAAATTGAGGTGTCTCCATATTAACAAAAAATATATTGATTTTAATTACTAGACATAAGTAATACAAGTTAGGTGTGTCGTTTAATAGAAAAAAATTGTTGCAAGATTTTCAAATTAATTTTTTATTATGATGAATATAACATTAAATTTATTTTAAAAATATGTATAACTTTAAAAAAAATTCAATAAAACTTTATTATTTTTATCTCAACATAAATCAAATTATATTAGGATTATATGATTCACATATTTTTTTAAATTTAATTATAAAATATGTTTAAAAAAAAATGTGGAAGTGATGAGCTTGACGATTCACTTGGCACAATGTTGTTGCTTCTGATGAAGTCGCTTGTTAGAACGATGAGTTAATGGTGTGGTGTGGTCATGTGGGAAGATGATTTTGTCAATTTTATATTTTTTCAATATGTATTTTTTGATATTAAACTTTTAAGAAATTCTTTTTTATAGAATTTCTTCGTATTAAACAGCTTGTATGTGTTTGTGATTCGTTAATATTTAATTAAATAACTTCACATTTAATTTAATAATGCCATTTGGGCTTTTAGTTTTAACAGCAGCAGTGCAATAAATAAATGGGCTCCGCCTGCTCAAATATTGCCATATTTCGCACATGGAAAACACTTTTTGTTACTTAATGCGTGTTGGAATATCGTAATTTGAAGGAACGTAATCAATTGTATGTCTTTGTACTTAAAATGGTTGATGCAATATTGAAGAGTTTTTTATTTTTTTCTGAGATATCTTCCGCTAGCAGTACGTATGACATACAATAAAAAAAATTTCAGTAAATTTGATGAAGACCCTGTCACTAGAAAAATTATTCCGTCATGCAGAGATGCATGCGGTGTTCGATCTCCACCATCGATCACCGCTTCGATGAGATTAAAAAAAAAAAATTAAAAGTAGGTCCCACCGAAGCGGAGATCTACAGTGAAGATCCGACACCGCATGCATCACCGCACGGAATAATTTTTCTGTCACTGATACCGTAATTGGTTTCGTTGCATATGACGATTAGCTTCTAGCATTATTGTACACACTAGAGTGTAATCCATAGAATATTGCATCATAATTGGCTGTCCGTGCGTATACGTACGTTATATTCTCACAAATTCATAGAGTTAATCATGTGATAAATATAATTTACTTATAATTTGACAAACATGCATTTTTGTAGTCTCTAAATGTTAATCTTTGTATTACTTATAAAATACTTGAAATGAACAAATGCATTTCAAATTGAGCCGAACACCATATTCATTGCCATGAAAGAAATCATAGAGCCTTAACATAATATTTTTTCCTCACTATCATATTCCATCAATAAATAATAATAATAGTAATAATAATGATAAAAAAAGAACATGTTTTAAATTACTGTATAGCACTACTTTATTTATGCTATATGTTGCAAAGCAGATTTCTCAAAACGCATCCAACAACTTTATTTAAAATCATGCAGACGACAACAACAACATTCATAAATAATCTTTCAGACTTAAATGAACAAATGTGATCAGGACATGGCGATTCCTCCATCAGTACAAATAACTTGGCCAGTAATGTAGGAGGCGACTGGCATGCACAAGAAAGCTGCAAGCGGCGCTACTTCGTCTGCCTCCCCGGCACGCTCCATCGGGCCTCCAAACCCCTCTGTTTCAGGACCTCCTTCTGCTCGAAGGAACTGTAATAATCCCACCATATTTCAAGCACAACACTAAACCAAGTATGAATTAATGGCGTTGCTTAATCAGTTTGAAAACTCACAGACTGTAGCATTGCACTCTTTATGGGTCCTGGGGCAACGCAGTTTACGCGTATCTTGTCTTTCGCCCATTCCAAAGCTAGATTCCTCGTTAGTTGATTTGTTGCAGCTGTAACCATGGCGATCAACAGATATAAAATAAAACTTGTTGTACCATGGCGATCAACAGATATAAAATAAAACTTGTTGTACCATGGCTCCCGTCTTCACGATCTCTCGCTTCCGTCTCCTTCACATGAGAACAGAAACTGTTGCCTCCTTCATTTCGCGGAAGCAGTAAAGAAGACTTCTTGTTTGGATTGCTTGAATTCTTGTTGAGGCTTACGAGAAGCAGAAGACAAAAAATGTGTTTTCGCAAGGTACTTTTTCTTAGTTGATTTTGCGTGCTTGGAAGAAAGAAGAAGGTGTTCTTGATTTCTTCTTGATGGCTTGCGCAAGAAGAGAAATAAATTTTCTCTTGTATGTATTTCTTCTTCGGTGTATCTTGGTGTAGAGAGAAAAAAGTGAAGAAGTGAAATGAAGAGTTCGCTCTTGTAATCGGAGACGATCAACTGATGTAAATTTCTCAATTAGTAAAATCCTCTGCAACTCCGTGGATGTAGGCAATTTGCCGAACCACGCAAATCTGTGTGTTCTTTTCTGGTGTGATTTTTCTGGTTCTATTCTTTCACTTCGTCGTCGATCATTTTAAATTTCATATATACCACAACAACTCGTATTAATGTCAATGACTGCAAATGAAGCAAAAGTTTCAGAGACCGAGAAGTTTGTTGACATAGATTTTGGTTATTGGAGGATGCAGATAGAGAACTATCTCTATGGGAAAAAACTTCATTTTTCGTTATTTGGGAAGAGAAATGAAAAAATGGATGAAGCTGAATGAAATCTGTTGGATCGACAGGTTCTGGGGGTTATTCGATTGACTCTATCGAGGTCCGTTGCGCACAACGTTGTCAAGGAGAGGACGACTGCGGATCTTATGGCAGCCCTGTCATGTATGTATGAAAAGCCATCGACAAATAACAAGGTATATCTGATGAAGAAGTCATTCAATTTGAAGATGGCGAAAAGTACATTTGTTGTACAACACCTGAATGATTTTAATACCATCACAAATCAATTATCATCTATGGAAATTGAATTTAATGATCCAATACGTGTACTGATCTTATTGGCTTCATTGTCAAATAGATGTGAAGCTATGAGTATGGCTGTCAGTAATTCTGCAGGTAAATCTAAATTAAAATTTGAAGATATTCGTGATTTGATTTTGTCTGAGGAGGTGCGCGGGAAAGATTCTGGGGAGATCTCAGGTTCGAGTTCAGCATTAAATGTTGATTTCATAGGGAGATCACAAAAAAAAAACTCAAACAGAGGAAGATCAAAATCAAGGAACAGAAGCAGGAGTAAGTCAAGGTCTGGTAATAAAGTAACTTGCTGGAATTTTGCCAAAACTGTCCACATAAAGAGGAACTGCAGGAATTCTATGAAGAAAGAGAACGACGGTGCAAATGTGGTAACTGAAGAATCACATGATGCACTGCTGCTGACAGTTCATAGTTCTGTTGATGACTGAATACTGGATTCAGGAGCTTCTTTTCATACAACTTTCCATCGGGAATTGATGCGGAACTATGTTGTAGGTGATTTTGGGAAAGTATATCTGACAAATGAAGAAGCTCTGAATGTGGTAGGAATGTGAGATATTGACATTGCACTTCCAAATAAGAACAAGTGAAATTTCCAAAAGATCAGACACATTCCTGAACTGAAGAAGAACCTCATTTATGTTGGGCAACTTCATGAATATGGACATTCAACAATTTTCTCAGATAACACCTGGAAGGTTACTGAAGGTGCATTGGTACTGGCTCACGGTCAGAAAATATTTTTGCTATATATGACTATTGATTTAATTAACAGTGTTGATACTACTGTTGTAGAGAGCACAACAGAGTTGTGACATTGTAGACTTGGTCACATGAGTCAGAGATGTATGAAGGAACTTCAGTCAAGAGGCATGAAGACAAGCTACTTGAACTGAAGTCAATTGATTTCAACACGTGCGAGAGTTGCATTATGGGGAAACAAAGAAAAGTTTGTTTCTTGAAAAGTGGCAGAACACCAAAGGCAGGAAAGCTGAATATTGTACACACAGATGTGTGGGGTCCTTCTCTAGTGACATCTCTTAGAGGCTCTCGTTACTACGTCACATTTATTGATGATCATAACAGAAAGGTATGAGTTATTTCTTGAAGTATAAATCTGATGTATTCAGTGTGTTCAGGACTTGGAAGGCTATGGTTGAGACAGAAGACAGAGATATGCTGAAATGTCTGAGGTCTGATAATGGTGGTGAGTATATTGATTTTGGGTTCAAGGAGTACTGTGCAGCTCAGAGAATCAGAATGGAAAAGACCATTCCAAGGACACCACAACAAAATGATATTGCAGAGTGCATGAACAAGACCCTTAATGAGTGGGCTAGAAACACGAGATTGCACGCTAGACTATCACCTACTTTCTAGGCAAAAGCAGTCAGTACTGCAGTTTATTTGATCAACATGATGTCATATGTTATATTAAACTGTGATTTACCTGAAGAAGTCTGGAGTGGAAAAGATGTAAAATTTTCTCACCTTAAGGCTTTTGGTTGTCTTTCTTATATTCTCATTAATCCTGAAGCTCGAAGTAAACTTGAGGTTAAGTCAAAGAAGTGTTACTTCATTGGCTACGAAGACGAGTCATATGGGTATCATTTCTGGGATGATCAGGGTCGGAGGATCATAAGGAGCAGGAACGTAATTTTTAATGGGAATGTTATGTACAAGGACAAGTCCAATACAGTTTCTGAAACAGCACTGAAGGAATCTGAATTGGTAAGATTTGATGATTTACCATATGTCACAGTGCAAGGCAGAATTGCAGGTGATGAGGAGAGTGGATCCGAGGCATCCACTCCTATTGTTCCACAGTTAGTTTCAGAGCAGTCTACCTCTACAGTTGCAGTTCGAAGGTCAGAAAGGGCTAGACGTTCTCCACAACATTATTCTCAAACTTTGAACTACATTCTGTTGACAGATGGTGGAGAACCTCAGAGTTATGAAGAAATCTTACAAGATAAAAATTCGAGCAAGTGGGAGTTTGCCATGAAGGAGGAGATGAATTCTCTGCTTGAAAATCAGACTTGGGAGTTAGCAGATCTTCTAACTGGGAAGAAGACATTACACCAACAAGTGGGTGTACCGGGTGAAGACTGATCATGATATCAGTAAGAGGTACAGTGCTAGACTTGTTGTAAAAGGTATACAGCAAGAGCACAATATTGATTATTACGATATTTTCTCTCATGTGGTGAAGCTTACAACATCAGAATGGTACTGTCTATGGTGACCACTGATGATCTCTTCCTTGAGCAGTTAGATGTGAAGAAAGACTTTCTTCATGGGGATCTTAAAGAAGACATCTAGATGCACCAACCTGAAGGGTCCGTGGTACATTGAAAGAAAGAATCAGTTTGCAGATTGAAGAAGAGCTTGTATGGCCTGAAGCAAGCTCCTAGACAGTGGTACAAGAAATTTGATAATTTCATGCACAGTGCAGGGTACAGCAGATGTCAGGCAGATCACTATTGCTATGTCAGGTATTTTGACAATTCCTATATCATCCTACTGCTGTATGTGGATGATATGCTTATTGTAGTTGCTAATATTGAGGAGATCAATAATCTGAAGGGGCAGATGTTATAACATTTTGCAATTAAGAATTTAGGAGCTGTAAAACAAATCCTTAGTATGAGAATTGTCAGAGATAAAGTCAGAGCAATGTTGAGACTCTCTCATGATGAATATGTGAAAAAGATACTTAACAGGTTCAACATGGATAAGGCCAAACCAGTTGGCACATCCTTGGGAATTTACTTCAGACTCAGCAAGAATCAGTCACCCAAGTCAGAGGAGGAACAAGATCATATGAGTAAGGTTCCTTATGCTTAAGCTATTGGTTCACTTATATATGTTATGGTATATGTTATGGTTTGCATGGTTTGCAACAGACCGAATATTGCCCATGCAGTGAGAGTTGTTAGTAGATACATAAGTAATCAAGGAAAGGAACATTAGGAAGCAATGAAGTGGATCTTGAGATACCTAAGAGGCTTTGCAGAAACTTGCTTGTGTTTCTCAGGAAAGAGTTCAAAGGTACGAGGCTGCAAAGGAGATGATATGTCTACAGGGCTTCTTGGAAGAATTAGGCAAGAAGAATCAGAAGGGAATTCTCTACATCGATAGTCAGAGCACAATATTTTTAGTCACCAGTCCATGACTAAGCACATTCATATCAGGAATCACTTCATTCGGTCATTGTTGGATGACAGACGGTTGTTGCTTGAGAAAATTTGTGGAAGTCAGGACCCTGCTGAGATGTTGACAAAGGGTGTTACTCTAGAGAAACTGAAGTTGTGTGCAACTTCAGTTGGTCTTCTTGCTTGAAGACAGAGGTCTTGAGTTAATGAGGTGGATGATAACACATTTGAAGAAAAGGGATATGCCGCCAGTGGAGGACATCAGTTTGAGGAAGAAAAGTTGTAGTCTGTGTACCGGTCTCCAAGTGAGAGATATGTTCGGAGTGGAGAAGGCTAAAAGACAAACCCCCCCTCCCCCGCACGTATTTCTTCCGCCCTGGAACCTGCTCCCGTGGTTCGCGATCTCTCGCTCCCCTGGTTCGCAATCTCCCGCTCCCACACGATCTCTCGCTTCCGACTCCTTCACGCAAGAACAGAAACCCTTGCCTTCTTCATTTCGCGGAAGCAGGAAATGAGACTTCCTGCTTGGATTGATTGAATTCTTGTTGAGGCTTACGAGAAGCAGAAGACAAAAAAAGTGTTTTTACAAGGTACTCTTTCTTACTTGATTTTGTGTGCTTGGAAGAAAGAAGAAAGTGTTCTTGATTTCTTCTTGGTGGCTTGCGCAAGAAGAGAAACAAATTTTATCTTGTACGTATTTCTTCTTCTTCGGTGTATCTCGGTGTAAAGAGAGAAAAGTGAATAAGTGAAAGGAGGAGTTTGCTCTTGTAATTGGAGACGATCAACTAGTGTAAATTCCTCAATTAGTAAAATCCTCTGCAACTCCGCGGATGTAAGCAATTTGTCGAACCACATAAATCTGTGTGTTCTTTTTTGGTGTAATTTTTCTTGTTCTATTTTTTCACTTTGTCGTCGATTGTTTTAAATTTCATATCTACCGCAACAAAACTTATATGAATCAGGCAAAAATTTCAGGCACAAAAACAGGAAAGCTCATGTAATTACCTTTAGTAGCGCCGTAAATGGCGCAAACAGGCAAAGCAACGATTCCTGCGATGGAGGAGATGAAGACAATGCTTCCACCACCAGAGGCCTTGAGCAGAGGGTGTGCGATTTGGCTGAGATGAAACCCGGATTCCAAATTTGTAGCCATCGTTATCGAGTAATCTTCCACTGTTGATTTCAGAGCGTCCTTGAACAGGCCCCTCCCCGCATTATTAATCTGACAGAAACTCATACATAAGTGAGATGAGGATCAAAGGTTAAAATTCTTTAAGATTATTTACTCACAAGTATGTTGAGCTTTCCATGGAACAAGGAAGAGACTGTCTCCATAAGTTTCTCTCTTTCAGCTCCAGAGCTGACATCACAAACAGAGCCAGAAACGTTGAGTTGTAAGAGCTTCCATTTCTGAAGGCATTCATGGAGCTCAGACTCACTGCGAGCACAGGTGTGCACAGTTGCGCCATGGCGGGACAGTTCTTCCACTATGGCTAGGCTGCAGAACTCAAATAACATCACCGAGAATGAAAATAAATCAAGTTGGAATTTTTTTTTTAGTTAGTGTTAAGAGGGAAAATAAGTGAGAAGAGGAAGAAGAAGGAGGAGACGAAAAAAAACGAACCCGATTCCCTTTGTGCCGCCGGTGACTAAAGCGGTGGTTCCCAGAAGAGACCATCTTTTGTCAGCCGCAGCCATCGCCATGATTCTTCGATATTCCTCTAATGCTCTGCTCACAGCTCACAAGAAAGATGAGGATAGCAAGTAAGCGAAGCAAATCCATTCCTCATTTTGTGGAATTAGCCTCGTTTTTTTTCCGAGGATAAACTTAAAATATTAATATATTTTTATAGAATACAAAATTAATATATA